CTCCTCCTCCTCCTCCTCCTCCTCCTCCTCCTCTTCCTTCCACCCCTTCTGACAGTAGTAATAAGAATGGCAGCTTCCATCAAAACGGAAAATCATCAAACTTCTTGCTTATTTATGAGTAGATGTCGAAACCGATGAGGTGATGCGACTCTTTATCGTCTAACTGTAAATTTTTTTAAAGCAAGGTGTGGCATAAGTCACGATTTCCAAACCCGAGGCAGTTGGGTGTTTCGAGCACGCTATGAGGCATTAGTGAAGTGCACGGAAAAGTGGACTGGCGACTGTCACTTTGATATTATTCACTCTTAATAGCCCTAAAAAAAATAATGATGCATTACTGCATCATGCTATCCGCTATTACGTGCTGGGTCTTGAAATTTTTAGGTTATTTAAGTTACTATGCGGTGGAACCAGCGTGGAGGAGTCTGGTTACAGCATGGATATCCTCCACCATGAATGAGTATTATACAAACTATCAAAATGCGACCGATTCGGCAGCCATTGAACTACAGACGAGGCTGAACAATCTGGATGAGCTGCACATGGTTCTCTGTTGTTGTGGATCTGCTGGTTATCGGGACTGGCAAAACGTGACGAAGGACATTCCATTTGATGAATTGAGGTTATAATCAGTCAAATGCCATCTTTTTACTCTCTACCGGCTCAAACGAGGAATTTGGGGCTCATTTTAGATATCTTATCTACCCACCGGCAAAAAATTCTTCCACTTTCATTGTTCCCTACTCCTGTTGCGAGTGGATGGAGCAGTCACAGGTGGAAATTTGCGATCACACCAGTGGGAGCACAAAATCCATCCACTCTGAAGGCTGTGCAGAACGTTTGGTTCACCTCATAGTCTACCAGTGGCTTAAAGTGCACTTTTGGTCGCTCATTTTTGTCAATTCGTTAATGGTACTTGGTCAGTTACACTGTCTGTCTTCCAACCCGCCATTACAACTCTCGTCTGGGACCTGGTGCCGAGTAATACATCTCATGCAATTTTCTCCTCCTCTTTAGATCCCACAAGTTCTGCTGTACCTGGGGGCTAATCAACCCCTTGCAATGCGCGACCAGCTTAGGTCAATAGGAAAGAACGCATGGGCACAGAGAGACCTGGCAACAAGAGTAATCCGGCGAAAGAGGCGAGCAGATGTAAGTTTCCACCCAAAGAAATCCAAGAGAAAAGATGCCGAATTAAAAAGATTATGTATAGCTTAATGGCTCGTTTCTGATTGTTAGGATGGCGTGCATTTCAAATGTTTTTTTGTGTTTAACTGAAAAATTTAAAGCCCATTTCTGTTTTTAGAAAAACGAGACCCAAACTAACTTCAAGCAGATTAATTACCAAGACCTCAGCAAAAACCGCACAAAGAATGAAAACATAACGGAGTATTTTGGGACCACGAAGCCACAATGCATATGATTATATTTCGCCTAACATAATTTTACAATGGCGTTTTGAAAATTATAACAGGTATGGAAAACAACAACAAAAATGGGGACAGCAATGTTTTTGCTCTAGTTACACTTAAGTGCCATATATGGCTTTTCGGGGATAGTCAATTATGCGCATGGGAGTAGGGCAGGTGAGGTCTCCGAGACCGCATAAAAGGTTAAAAAAAAAACGCCTTCTCGGGCGGTCTAGCTTGCGAACTAAGAGGTACGGTTCATAAGAAAAAGATTTGCTTCACGAAAATTTGTTGGTAATCGTTGTAATACACACTGGTTTGTATGAGTGGACTTTCTAGGTGAGAGGCGGGAACCAATTGGGAACACGAATCAAGTGCGTGATGCTGGTAGGTGGGCTTTTTCCAAATAATATCGCCTACTCGCCTCATCAGCATCCCATTCCCCATCCTTCCTATACCAAATGCCCAATAAATCATCTGCAACCAACTCTCTCTTGAAGTCTGAGGTTCAAGGACCAGAGGGTAGGCAGGCAGCTCTTACAATCGTTAATTCGGACATTCTTCCAAGCTAGTGACGATACAAAGCTGCAAATGCTTACAAGATTCTGAAAAAATTACACGGATTATGAATTTAAACATACTTAAGTAAAAATGTTCCATAAATTAAAAGCCAAAAATTGTTGATTGTTTACTGCAACTTTAATGAATAAAGTGCACTAAAGCCCTTTTAGGTTTCGATTAATGTTTCGCAAACAAGCACTTTGTCTGTATCGACTTCTTGTTTAAATATATTCCAAGAAACAGCGAATCTGCGGATTCTCTAATGGCGCTTCCAGGCCCCGCTACCAAGTCGGTGTGAATTATGTATCACATATCTCCTTGACTCCTAATCCGTAAAAGAGTTTCCGCTTTGACGAATAGACGAATCTCAAAGAATTCGCGTGCACTATGGCTCTCCCCTGCTGCACATTTGCACGTGTTTCTGAGTCTGATAAGGCTAGAAGCGAAGCGAATAAGCAGATTGATAAACTCATAGAAAAAGAAAAACGCAACTTTCGGTCCACTCATCGACTTCTTCTGCTGGGTAAGGATGTGATTCTTGCAAATTTGATGATGATAGGGGCTGGGGAAAGTGGAAAATCAACTATTGTGAAGCAAATGCGGATTCTACATATTGATGGCTTTTCCGATGCGTATGTTGATTAATTTTTGCTTTACTCAATAGAGAGAAAAAAGAAAAGATAGTTGATATTCGAAAAAACCTCCGGGATGCCATTTGTGTAGGTTTGGTTTTCCTAATTTAACTTTGTCAGTCCATCGTTGGTGCTATGCCCAATCTCAAACCTCCAATTGATTTAAAAAATTCCGAAAATGCTCCTATTCGGAATTATATGCTTGAGGAGGCTTCTAAGAATGATTTTGACTTCCCTGCGGTACAAGAAGTGGTCGATTTAATATAACTTTCCCTTAGATTTTCTTCTCGCACTGTCGTCAACTCTGGAGCGATGCTGGCGTTCAGGAAGCATTTGAGAGGTCAAACGAATACCAGCTTATTGACTGTGCGAAATAGTATGAGTGCTCGTTTTCATAGCTGTGTTTTCTAGCTTTCTCGATCGTTCCATGGAACTTGGCAAGCCGGATTATATTCCTACAGAACAAGACATTCTGCGATGCCGCGTTCTCACTTCGGGTATTTTCGAGACCAAGTTTACAGTGGATAAGGTCCAGTTTCACATGTTCGATGTGGGGGGACAGCGGGAGGAGAGGCGAAAATGGATCCAATGTTTTAATGATGTGACTGCAATAATCTTCGTTGCTGCTTGTTCTTCTTACAACATGGTGTTGCGTGAGGACCCCAACAAAAATCGAGTTAGGGAGTCGCTTGAACTTCTTGGCTCAATATGGAACAATCGGTTGGTGTCTTATTAGTGCTTGTTATTTTCTATGTTGGCTCAAGTGATTTTTGCTTTTTGTACTTGTGCATGTATGATATTTTTTTTGCAGTACACTTTCGAATCTGAGAATTATGTTTATTTTGAGCGTAAACAATTGCTACTGATATTTCATTTATTTACTCAACCTCATCCAGGGTTATAAAGGTAATTGGGATCCTTTCGTCCGTGGCTGTGGCATGGGTGATAAGATTTGAGCACTTCTTGATCATTTCTGCTGCTCTGAAACAGCACTGTTGCCTATTTTTTGGCGGTGTGACTCTCCATTTCCCTTTCAATCGTGCGCGTGCGTGTGGTGTGTGTGTGTATGTCTGTCGGCCGACGTGGGACGGGCGGGAAAGGGGGCGGATGAACGCGTTGTCTGATTGTACCTCCGTTTTGCCACAGCTCTCCCTTATCCGGTTTTGATACAGAATCTGGAAATTCTGGGCTTGTATAGCCGCCCCTTTTTTATTCTCTCACAGCTTTGACATAGCTTAAGTGAAATTAGCATGCACGATATCAGCGCCGTGTGGTGCTCTGATCCCATATCGAAGCTCCCACGTCGACTAAATTGAAGCGAATTACATTGGGTTTGAAGGGTGGGCGGGTGAAAAACATTGCTATTAATCAAGCATTTTTAAACTCGGTGGCGTGCTTTTTGTCTCATTACTCATTGATATGACATGAGAATATCGTGGATATTTTTCTCGGTTTCTTTCACACAGATTGGATCACTGAAGAAGAAATAAAGTGTATGGTGCCCCAGTGTTCTTTTTTGGATACTACTTCACTTATGTGTGACGCGATTTTTGCCATCTTATGGCAATTGGTTGTTCCGAGTCCTCTTACAAGCGAACTGATTGTTTTTATTGGCAAAAGTGGAATGGGTGTGGAATGAGCTTAGATGGAAAACGAACATACCTCCAACACTGTAGAAATGGATGATTCAGTCAAACAATTAGCCTTCGGTGATGCCTGAGCGTCGATTTATTTGTGAAGTCACTGGCAGATATTTTAAGTTTCACATTGTCCGATGATGGTGAATCAGTTTTTTTAGTGATTCGTACCCACCATTGAATCGAGCGATGGGGCTTTTTAATGCTTTGCTGAGGCTGGATTTGGAATTCGAATAGCACAAAGAGTGGTGGCGACAACAGCTGCTGTGTGGCTGCATAACTATGTCTATCCGTTGCCTTCTTACTATCAGCTTCCACCAAGCCATGGTCTGATCCCTTATGGATGGTAATCACTGTCCATTTGCTAAACCCCCTCCGAGTTGTTTCTGTGCATTTATTGGTAAAACGGGTTAACATTTCCTAAAATCTTGCTTCTCTCGTTGTCAGGACATGCCACTAATCTCAGCGCTAGTTCTACCTACAATTTACAACTGCTTCATGTGTTTGTTCTTTTATAATGCATTATTATTAGCTTTGGTGTTTGATGCTATCTCATTGTTGTTCCGATAAACCATTAGACTTTGTGCATTCACTTTACAATCCTTTTATGTCTGTCGTCATTAGGTGGCTGAAAAACATATCGGTGATCCTCTTCTTGAACAAGCAGGATCTCCTAGCAGAGAAGGTAAAGTCTGGCAAATCCAAGATCGAGGCCTACTTCCCCGGCTATGCAAATTATCAAGCACAGGCTGATGGTGAGCTTATTCCCCTCCTCCTATATCTGAATGTGGGTTACATGGAGGCAGGACGCTTTATCTTCCTCAACCATCGGATCCTCAGTCTCTTCACTCAGACCCCAAACGATCTAGTCTAGTATGCATAATTTACAATTAGTGAATATCAACAACAGAAATTGAACTGAATCGGCTGTACTCTCAGAATTTAGTAGTTTTGTTCGAGGAGCCCCTTAATTCCCTTCATCGATTGCACCATTAAATTCACTTTAGAGAGGTCTTCATTATGTCAGAGATAGCATCGTTGAATCGTTTATCCACTAAAGATAGGATCAGTGGAATTCTTGTGAAGTCGTGGCCCTTACGACTCACAATGGCTGTAGTGTATCGTGTTTGTACTACGTTGGTGGGCTTTCGATTTGGGGTAACTAGTCATTAGAGTTTAGCCTATTCAAATGAAATCTACACACCTCTCGTTAGAAGCTGTTGGCTCCACCGTTAGATACTGCTTTTTATTTTACTGTGACAAGTCTGGTTTGAAAATGTGTTTCGTTTGCGGACTAGATAACTCCAGATTTGGATTTCCTTTTTTCGCATATCACTTGTGGAGGAATTAGACCATACTTGGAAATGGCGAATTTGGGTTTGTCGACTTGTGGGGTAATTTAAGCATTTCCAGTGCATTGGCTCATCTCTCGAGCAGGACACTCCCATCCTCTAAGCGTTAGATGTCGGTTTAACAATCTCTCGATTTCCATAAGAATGACCCGTGAAACATGTTAACGCCTGCTAATTTGTGCTTATTTTGAGAAAAGTAGCCTGTTGTACTTCACGCAATGTTCCTCTGCATGCGTGTGCGTGTTCTTCTGCAGTTACATCCGCTTGTTTTCTTGCACTTTCATTGAAGTGAACCCGCGTCATTCTACTTTTTCATTCCCTTAATTGTGTGGGCTAGGCAAGAAACCAAAGTTAAATGCCCTTTGTATTGGCTTCTGTTGTCTGAAAGTTGTAAGAGGAGGCAGGGGCAGTGGACAGCTAGAGATGGGAGGGTGGATAATTGTCGGCGCCTCGGACAACAAAGTATGTGTAAACTCGTTAAGAGGGAAAGTATTTTCGGTGCCCACTTTTGCTGCATCCAGCCAAGACGGCTATTTTTCGCTTGATATGAGCGCCTTGATTCTCTAATCTTGTAATCCTCATCCTCCTTTCTAGTTCTCGCGGAATACAGTGACGAAGATCCCGAAATCGTCCGTGCCAAATTCTTCTTCCGAGATGAATTTTTGGTTAGTTTTTTTGCGTGTCCCAATCTTATCACTAGTTATGCCCTCCCGTTACGCTTCTTAGCTTTCATTTTAATCGCTTTATATACGTCCTAGAAATTTACTATCCTATAGCAGTACTTAGGTTCTCCTGCCTCATAGCTGTTTGGAATAACTAGTGCCTTATTGCCATCGCCACTGGTTTAGTTACTTATCCTTTGGTGCCCCCCTACCCCGACTCCATTCTCGCCTCCCAACCTTGTCTCTAAATCACACTTCAAAATACTATGTAAACCGTTTTTCGGTGTGTGAAATAAACAGCCTATACACGTGCGCATTGGTGCGTCCATGTGCGTTTCTTTCGTAACCTACTGGTTCGTAGCAATGACGCAATAACGCTCTGGCCTTCTCATTGGTGCGTTCTGTACATCTACGTGGGCATGCAGGCCTGTACGAGGTGTATACGCGTGCATGAACCAATCAATTTGTGGGCCTGTCTTCTTGCGTCATTGCAATAAACCAATGGGAGAACAATGTCTAGTTGGGAATGTGCGTGCGCGCCTAGGTACAAATTTATGGGTGCTGCTCGCGCATGCCCGTCCCCTCCTCCTTCATCCTTACCTCTGGCCGCGATGTTTGTGTATGGATCAGTCGGATCCATAAATGTTGTTCATGAAATATCCGCTAAAGACTGACCAACTTGCTTTATACAAGATGGGTCATCTTGGTTTTTCCATGATGAGTAATAGACAGGTGTTTGTAGCTGGACTAGGTGTTTTTTTTTCACGAGGATTTAAAAATAATTCGTAAACGAATGAGAACTCGAATAGGGAGGCACATTTAAAAGTGGAGCTTAGGAACAAAATCTTCCGGACTTCTATCCTCGGAGAAGTGTCTTCCTGGTACCTTTAGCATAATCTAGTTCCTAGTCTGACGTCTGTGTAAATAATACGGTACAATGTATTGGTTCTTTTAAACCTCGTCTCAGCAAGATCCTAGCATTTGTTCCACTACATTTGCGTCCAAATTGAATCCTAATCATTAGTTGTCTTGGATAGAGTGTTCACATTAACCCAGAATTTGCCCCCTAAACTCGTTAGGCGCTGTTATTGAATCGTCCGGTTTTGAATGGTATCATTTCTACATTTCTACATGGTTCGTGTTAATAGACAGTCTCGTTTGCATTTTCTGTCCCGTATTACGAACGGCCGACTGCTAGGCTGGGTCGTCAGGTTTTCTGTTCCTGGATCACACACGTTGCTGCAAAACTACACTGTAGGTATAGACTTTTGATTAAGGTTTTTTATTTATGCTCTTAAATTATTTTGAAGGGCCACTCATGGCTTCTGGTCCTGGTGGGATATTTTGGGTACTGTGCCCCCACACGGCGGTGGAAGTTGTATTTTTTTAAGTGTTACTTTCGGAATTTACCCACTTCTGTTTGATCCTTGGGTTACTTCTCAGATCCTAATGTTATGCGTTCCTAGTAAAAGTTGTTTGAAGTGGACCTAAAGTGGTAAAATTTTGATTTGAATACTGATTAGGTGTTGATAAGGAGGAGAGTTAAAATACTTTTATTATTCTCGCTCGACGAAAATCTTGTACTCTGCTATGCTGCAATGCGTCGGTAGTCGCTGTACTTTTGGTACTAGGAGATGTAGGTATCTGAGATACTGCCCATGGATACCCTCCTATTTCACTAAAACTCTATCCTGTTTGAATATGTTTTGTCTGACTATATCACAAGGTATTAATTATGCCAATCTAGGCTACTTCACTTCTCTCCAAGTTGATTTGCTTTTTGTGCAAGTGTCACTCGCCTTGTTAACTTTGCCTAAGTGCATTGAATTGCTCAGGATATCCTTGGCTTCTATTTCAAGGCATGTGTAGCCGTTCATACAATGGATATTGGGTTATATTGACTTACCAAGGTCATGGAGCAATGTTGTGCTGTACAACAAGTGAATTAGGCATGTCAATCACTAGTCGTAGCACCGCGTGTTCAATGGCGAATGCGGGAAACATGTGCTGTGTCATTGAAGTACGATGACCCACGGTCATTGGAGGGCTTAAAAGCTCAGCCTTACTTTCTTCAAATCTCTTGTTCTCAGTTTTCCCGCCTTATCCATTCACAACGTGTCCTTTTGTCCGAGATAACCGTTTTTGCCATCCAGCCAATGAAATTGGCGTTTTTAAAGCTACTACTGCGTCCTACCGAGATAAACGGACTCCATCTTGTCATCAAAAAATCTCTCTCCCTATCCACGTTGTTGGTGCCACGTTTGTTTCGGGCAGCAAATGTTTAATCATGGGTGCGATTGTGTTCGTTATTGGAAATTCCTCTTTTTGTTTTAGTCACACACTGCTAGTTATGCAACGATTAGACAGCCAGGAGTGGGTTAAAGCTCTACGTACTGGTTAAATTTTTACGAATATGTGGAATTGTGGACTATGAACCAGAAGCACAATCTCATTGTTCGAGGATGTATTGGTAACGTACTGAAAATCTCGATCATCATAGTTTGTAAATCCTTCTCTAATCAGGACGGCAGGAGTTTTTGTTGGTAAACATGGAGAGGACGTGGTTACGATCGAGATTAATGCTATTTTTTTCACCTTTGCTGCTGCAGAAGGTGACAGCAGATAGCAATAACGGTCGGCATTACTGCTATCCTCACCTGACTTGTGCGGTTGACACGGAGAACATCCGACGAGTGTTCAACGACTGTCGGGACATCATCCAAAGAATGCATCTCCGCCAGTATGAGCTGCTGTAGTAGTCCCCACACTCGATCCCTGTCGCGCTCCTCTCTGTGATCGATTTAGCTGCGTCACTCATTCTCGCCCCATCTAGCTTCCGTTGTGTAGAGGAAAAAAAAGCTGCACTTTTCTCTCGTTCCCTCCAACTCATGAGGAAGGGGAATCTTAAAGCACTTAATTCCGCCCTCTCTCGTCCCTTTTCGGCCCCTTGCGAGGGTTCATCTTGCAAATGATTTTGACACCTTATCCTCCTTTCTCCCCTCCCGCATATCAACACGGAATGCCCATTCCCTTGTCCATCCTTCTATGTGATCTAATGCTGCGTATATCCGTCCCTCTGATTTGATTTTTTTTTCTTGTCTCCCCTACACTGGCTCAAATCCCGGTTATCCTCCCTCCCTTTCTCTGTTTTGTTTGAGATGCGGGCCACCAGCTTGATAAAGCGATTGTGCTCCTCCGCTCTTCTTTCCTTTTAGCCTGAAAGCGCCTCCACTCTGTTTCTTCTTTTAATCCCTCTCCTCTCCTTTGCTCTGCGTATCTCTTTTCTCTCTTCACCTATCTATTCTCTCGAGTAATTTGTACAAAAGCATTTTTCTGCAATTTTATCACCTCAGAAGCAAGTCTTTGACGCTAATGGCTCAATGATGGTGGTGAGTGTGGTGGTAGACTTGAAGTGCAGAGTTTTCTAATTTCTCTCTCATAGTGGTTGATGAGATAAATCCCCAACGCAGCGCCTTAGTTTGTTGACCAAACTAGGGAACATCTTTCGAATGGGTTATTTTCATCTTGATTTTCAAATAAAAATTTGGTGAGGCGAATTCCACTGGTTCCCCGTGTGATAACGCTCGAATTAAGGGATTACGATGTAGTTGAGGCGACACCAACAAATCTCTTAACAATTGTCGATGTTTCATCTCCCCGCTCTCTTATTTTGCGGTGTCAGGATGACCTTTGGTGAGGTGATAGTTGCGAGGTCAGTCAATTCAGAAATGACCTCAGCGGTGCCCTTGGGTGTCCTCCTCACTGTGGTGCAGTATGGTTTACTTTAGCGAAATGTGTGTATGCTTAAGAGAGCCAGGTAATTGGATGCGTTAAATCCTTGGAATATTCTCCCGGAGCATCGCGATAAGAGCTTCGCAGGTGTCAGCACTTACGCGACAGCCGATTGCCATTTTATGGGAATTCCCCCCGCCCATCGAACATCTCAGTCTTGATTGACATTTAGTAAGGATATGGGGTTGGCGCTTTAAATCCCACATTTAGAGATGTCTACCCCTGCACTGCATAGAGTTTTCCCACTGGAAAGTCACATCCCTGCCCCCTCCCTTCTTCATTCCACCTTAGTAATAAAAGTGGAATGCGATTGCACTTCTGCAACATCTTAGTATTTCACCTAGCAACCACCTATGTTGCATTTCATTGTTTCTGGACCCTCTCACACACACATGAAAGATTGTGCGGAACATCATTTAATTACTATCACTATTGTAGGCTCTCAAGCATGTCTACGCGTTACATGAAACGAGAGGAGTAAGAACGAGGCAGAATTAATGGAAAAAATATCGCGCTGTAGTTTTGCGGTATTGTCATATGAAACCTGATGCCCCAAGATGTACATTACAAGTCACTCTATCTTGGTAAGACGACGTACGAACGGAACTGATTTGTAGAGTAGGACAACAACTTCCTTTCCCCGTATGAATCTAAATGACCACAAGTGATTTGTAGTTAACTGTTTAAAGGAACACACACAGGGACAACAGGAATTAGTACTTGAATTGTCAGTAATAGGAACAAAAGGTCAAACATTCGCTATAACTAACGCAAAACAGTTTTGACGTAAAGCTGATACTTCCAAGCTGAATCACCAGCATTTCCTCGTCTACGAGGCAGATAACTCGCACCCTCATTACTCACCAATCAAATAACCGTATCAGCTTTACTACCCGGAGGGAACTGAGATGGGCGGAGCTAATGACACTAACTAACTAAAAAATTGGAAGCTGGCTAATCAACGCCTACCACAACGCCATACCAGCATACAACTGACTATGTGTGCCAATGACGGCCGCACACGTGCAAACACACGTTTTAAGTTTAAATGCATGTGAGACAGGTATATTTACAGAATGCCTATTTTTGATAAATGCGCTTTTCCTACCGGTACCAAAGTTCACCTGGTGGGTGTGTGAAGAAGACAACCCCAAAGTCCAACTTTAAAGCAATAGGAACAGCCTCGCGTGGGTATTTTTTCCATATTTACGTATTGCGTTGTGTTTGTACACCCGAGCATGCGAACCACCTAGCAAACAAAAGCGTGTTGCAGAATGTTTAAATTCTTGGAGCCACTTTTCACTAAGTTTCTGAGTGATGGTTGACAGGTCAAGAAGAGATATGATTTCTTGGGCACATCCCATCAGACCGACCTAATAGTGCCTCTGGGTCAGGGACTCACTCTGTCAATCTGTCAGTAAGACAAAGACGACGTTTCTCACTGCAATGAATACAACCACAATATTTTGAGGTATTACACTATTCTTGTCAATTTGGGTCCATCACTTTTGCTTCCCTTGTTTCATAGATACATGAATAAGCTTCCCTTTGGGGAATACAAATTAATAAACTACCATATTAACCTTGGTGTGGAGCCGAAGTCACACACTGGCTTCGATAAGTAAGTAAAAAAAGCAAGGGGAAATTTGTTTTCTTCTCTGTTATATAGAGAACGCCATTTTGCATTGACATTTGGGACAGTCAAATGGGCGAAAACACGACCATCTCTCATGACATGCGATAGCAGCCACCCCAATCCACAAAACCTATTTACCTACGCATAATACTAAAATAATGAGTATGTTAGCTGTATTCCTTTAAAATGCTTAACTCATTTCTCCCTTCGTAACAAATGTCACGTTGTAACAAGTTAACATGGCACCTCCTCTGTCCTTGCTAAGTTTGATCCCAAAGCCAAAGACGGTTTGATGGATGCGAACGTTTGGGATGCTTCGTTGCGTGTTAGAAGCCGGCTTACAGGGTGACTTCTGACCTCGTGGCTTTCATACCAAGCTAGGCAATATGAGCGAATGAGTGGACCGCAAAATGGCAGTAAGAATGCTCGCTGTAGCGGGGATTTGCCTCAAAAATAGAGCTTGTCTTGTTCCACCCCTTTTCCTCATAAAAGTTTTATCAAGAAGACTGTTGCATTTGATTGGAAGTTATAAAAATTGGCGCTTAGTATTGAAGTCCAGTTTATAACTGAGTATAATAACTAAAACAAAGGCTGGAACTATCAAGACTGAATGCGACAGGAAATATTGCATTTCACTAGATTTTTTAATTATAAAAACTAAATTTCAACGCCATGACAACGAGGTTCATGGCTAACATCATGCGCAAGAAGGCAGAGGGTGTGTAGATTAAGCAACACAAAGAAAACTTTAGCGTCCGAGTTTGAGCGAAGGTGTGTTAAAAGCAGAAATGCGAGAGGAATATTTTTTTGCCTGAGCAAATTAACATACGCACTGCCATGCATGCGGGCCTCTGGGCCCGTGAGGCACATCAACGCACATAAGTGAGAGCAAACATGTTAAATCGGTGCAAATCAGAAAGATTTAGGTTAAAACACAAAGAAGAGCAAGCGGACTCAACAGGTATTTAAAAAAACCGACAAATACTTATGCAAGAATGAGGACTTAAAAGAAAAGGTGGAGGATTGAAAACGAAAAGGAAATGGTGGACTTAAAAGCCCAAATAACGTGAAAAAACGATTTCATTTCAAGGGGTGTACCATCAGCAAGAGAGGGATCACCCTGGTGTTCCTTTTGCGTTTGCCACGTGGGCCAGGACGCAAACCAAGCCACAGCTCAGACCGTACACATATTGATTGTCTAAATTGTACTTTTCTATAGAAAAGTCACACAGGTGGGATGCGACTGCGGATACCCGTTTAGCCATCTGCAATTCCTCTTCTGCTTGTACCTTTCAAACGATACCTAATTAATCCTCGTCAAGCAATTCTACCTTTAATAAGACAAGGATGAAGGATGCGAGACAGCGCTACCCAATGACTTCTACTTCCATAACGGGATTTCTCAAGGCGTTAGACCTGCGTCCCATCTCTACTCGAAATGATTGAATGTCCGTTCAATTACAGTGCAAAGTATTCTAAGCATGCCGTAAAGGGATTTTCATTTGTGCAGAAGCGGAAACTTTAGATAAAAAGTAAATGAAGCCGTCCATCAGAGAATCATTGCAATAAAAATGTACAAATTGTAATACTTTGCCCATGCGACCATCTGATATCTTGTGGTTACTTTAAGATTCGTCTGGCATTTGTACGTGCAGGCCGGACTACGGCCAAGGCCACTCCCTTTGTTCACGCTGGAATGCATGTGATCCGCTCCACTTGCTCCCTTCTTCTATTCTGTGGAAATTCTCGGAACGCCACACCAATAGTGTTTGTTAAAATAGTGGTTATCACTAGAAAATTATCAGAATGTTGTGCTTTCTTGCAAATGTCTGATCTCATGGTCATACCTACGATATCAACCACGCAACTAATATATTCTTATAATTGTCAGTCCAGTTAGTCAATTAAGTATCGGTAATACTTAACCAAATGGAAACAATTCGTAGATTGAATGGTCCAAAATGACAATCTAGGTCAATAAATACAAAAATAATGTCGATATCTGTGATTTTAACAGGGCAGATATATTCATGATTTGCTCATATAGCATCCCAAGACTTCCTAGCCGGATGTATGTATTCCGAAGACAACAGGACAACTGGGCCTGAGGATGGTCCGAAAGCCAGTCCACGTGTACAAGGACCAGACAAATCCTATGGTGACTATTAAACGTCATGTGCTCACATAAGCAAAGCATTACACTCGGAATACTTATACCGATACCAAACTTTTAATTAGTCTAGATGGTCACAAACTCCAGCAGGTGTAATGCAGAGCAAACAAAAATTGCGGATAATTTTTTAATGTCATACACGATATTGGTATAAGTGATTTAAAGAATTGATCTGAAAATATAATTTTATTTTAAGTCAAAAAATTGTTTAGCAAGATGTTTGGTAGTTTTATTGAACCGATTGTACTCCATATTATTTGTGCTCAAGGTTAAGGTTCATATTTCGAGCTAGATGTTAATTGTTGTCGTGTTCCTGTTCCGTTTCCTGTGCTGCGCGATAGCCGTCGAATCAGTAGCTGACAACTGCATTAAGAATGGATACTCAGAATGGTGTTTTGTGTTCATTCCGGAACCTTTGACTTTTGCTGATGCCCAGAGGAAATGTGAGGCCCTGAATTCCACTCTCGCGACAATTCCCAATCGTAAAGTGAATGAATTCGTTGTATCTTATTTAGGCACGGTATGTGATGTGAATTATTACGAAGTTCGAATGTTTTGCTCTGATGCAGTATCCTTGGCACTTATTTGTTTTTACAGTGGCTCATCTTATTGGGTTCTTTTAAGGAGAATTAATTTTCGTTTGACTTTTTGATGTTCGATTGCTTGGGGAGGTATGCACTGAGGATGAACTATATTGACTCTTGAAATCTATTTTTTACTTTTTTAACAGACTTTATTGGTTAATCATTTAGATAGCTAATGGAACAGAGTCGTTTTGGATTGGACTACATTGGTCGCACAGCATGCTTCGCTGGGTTTCAGGGTATCCAGCTGTTGCCAATGTCTTTTGGAATGATCCTACTGTAGATTTAAGTCTGAACTGCATATTAGAGTCGACAGGTTAGTGTGTGATTAAAGGCGTTTTGAGATTTGAACTAAGTAGCTATTCACTTTGGTTCTCTTTTTTCCGTAGCTGGTATATGGAGTCCACGGTTGTGTACCGAACTCCATCCCTTTCTGTGCAGCTCAGAAGTGAAGGATTTTGTGGAGTCTAGTCATTTCCTGTCTCCTATGAAGTATGAGTGTCCACCCAAATTCCATATAGTGGGTCGTCGTTGTCTTCGTGTAAGTTCCGTTTAGACGAATGGTAAATTCATAGTTATTTGTCCAAATAACCCTCACCGGTTATCAATGCCACCGCGTAAACCTTGTTACTATTTTGTCTTAGTTCTTCGTTAACGAGATGGTAACTCGCGCTGAGGCCGAATCCATTTGCACAGGACTGGCCTCTCACCTCCTCTCTATTCGGTCGTTTCGCGAAAACGGTACGCTTCATTGCATTTCCTTCCCTTATGGAACCCGATATTTTGTTGTGAATGCTACAATGGGTAGGTTTCTTTGCCTTGATTTCTGCTATGCTTTGTGAACTCTTAAAGCTATTTTTGTCGTTCAAATCTAGACAGGAACGCCACGAGGGTTTAGTTTCACAATGATTTTTTGAATTTTTTTGTGTATTCAGAGGTGTCTCATTTTATTTTGCCTACATACTTTCTGTCTGCCTCTTGGTTTGCAAATTGGCAAATTCATCGGTTGAGGCGGTTAATGTCTCCCATTCGCGCGTATAAATTTAAAATGAATGAAAGGTGCTATCGTTTCAATGCAGCTTTTCTTCGCGCGCATGCTTTAGGAAATGCTACAAGAGTCACCAGCTTCGCCCCTTTGTTTGCTATCAACTGCCTATCTGTTTACTCAAATGTCTTTTATTGCAGCCTGTATTTTTAACTTGTTCCACTTCTAGCTTAAGCTTTTTGCGTGAAAGCTTTCAACCATCTACTACGCATGCGAATCCTCACTGCCATGAATAGCGGAAGATGACTACTTGCTATTTCCATTTTCACACTCACTACCTTTCGTCTAATCACTTGTTTAACCAAATTTAGTCCTCGCCGATCTTGCGAGGAGAAACTTATAGCATAAGCACTAAATTAAGCAACTCGCACCCACTATTGTACCGACCTGAATGTACTCAAAGGACTTGATAATGCTTCGCTGGTACAATTCATTGTGCCAAGCTGTACTGGGAAGAACACACGGTGAAATCGGGCTCTGAACAGTAACTTGAGTTGTGCCGTGGAGAGGAGGGATACTTAGGGTGCGTTGCGATCCTGCCCTAACACTCGCTTGCACTGATTTGTGGATTATAAACTGTCATTCAAAACAGCGTTTCTGGCACTTTACAGGTCCAGAATAGTTGACTTAGGTAAAATATTACTAATTTTTGAGCAAAGATGAAAAAGGCAGAATTTGGAGTGGGGTTTTGTTGCGAAGCTCCTTCAAATGGGTGCGTTATTTTTTGTGGATGAGGTTTGTCAGTAAAATTGGTGCATTAATGTGCTGTCTTTAAACCTGGTGTTTACTTGGTGCTTCAATTAAGGGCTGTTCAAAGCAAACAGTTATTTTTGAACTTTTAAAGTGTGAGAATGAAATTGGTACTAAGGAGGTAACTGCGGTTTGAAAACGCCTGTCATTGCGCTTCAAAAGTTCTGTGATTATTTCCTCTATTTCACTGTTGAGGTTGAGAGGTTAATCGCTGAAGTTTACAGTCATTATTCCAAATACATTAATGATTATTTGTTATTTCTTGCTTTAAACTGTTTTACAACTGCATCCTCCCGGCTGTAGGCTTTAGAGCAGATGTAATAACTAGGCAGTGAAGATGCAGTCAGTGGATGCACACTTGTTTGTGCATGGTTTCACTTGTGTGCATTACTGGTAACCAATTAAACTCAGTATCTTGGTGGATATGGGTGCACCTCGAGAGCATCTCTCCTTGATAGCCTGACCAGGAGCACATGTTCCAAGGTTCCTCGTTTGAGCGAAACTTGTCAGAACTTGGATAAGTCTCTTTTACTCACTGCGGCAGACACTCCGATTAGTAGTTGAGCTTTTCAGTGCTTTACCATAGTTGCGATGCTGAGCTCTTTGTTTATCAGCGTTCACTACTGTAACCATATGCACCCCTCCATTTGACTGTGAATGTTGAAGGTAGCCTGCGCATATCAGCGTGGCTTACCAATAATGACAAGTCAGTGTCGACACTCAGCACTGTGTTGTTACATCACTACGGCTAAGCGTATTTTCTATGACTCTCACGTAATTTCCACTTTGATATTTGCTTTCTTTTGGGTGTTATGGTTAATGCTTATTTCTCTGACATACAGATCTCCTCATAGCCATGCTGGCTGACCATCCTTCAACTTTTTGGCTCGGTTTGAGTCGAAAGTCCAACAGCTACATTTGGGAAGACTCGGGTGATATGGAAGTGACTTTCACCAACTGGATGGCGGGTGCGCCCACTGGAGACATCTCGGTATGCTATTTTCAGGCGTATTAACGCTTTTCTTGGTTTTATGGTTTACCATGACTTTTGCAACTTGCATTTGAAACCTTCGCGAATTGTTTTTCAAGCGACAAGCGCATATCGTCCATTTTACTCCCAGTGCCTCCGTTGTAGGGCTGAACCACTATGGAGTAACTGTTCTTCAACTTATCAGAGAAAGGATTATAGCTGTTGGATGTATTTTTGCGTGTTATTCCTGAAGAATTGAAACCGGTTTTGTTAATAATGCATGGAAAGAGTAGGTGTGGTAGCGCAAGGACTTGCAGATTTCGTTGCATTTTCAGAACAACTGCACCGTAGTACACACAGACTTGCACTTTCTTGGCAAATGGGCTGAGGTCAGCTGTTCATCCGTGGCCCATTTCGTGTGCGAAGCTGAGCCAAGTAAGCTTGTTTCCGTTTCTTTGCCTCCCTCCATCTGTTCTTTTCCACGCCTCATTGCCTCATTTTCTCACCGGTTTTTTGCAGAAATGGTGTCTAGTCACATCGAAAGCCATCTCCATGGCGACCTCTTTGTGCCAGGTCGTTGTTCCAACGGCTTTTATGAGTATCGCGGTGCTTGCTACATGGTTATTGACCTGCCTATTGGGGTCACACGTACTCCGAATTTGCTCGCAGATTCCGTCACCACGGCCTGTCAAAACACGGTGTTGATTAAGAACTGCAGTGCTCCCAATATTGGCACTGTCCTATGCCCCATGGTTGCATCACCTCACGATCAATTCGATGCGGCATTCCTGCGTTCCTTAGTTGATAAATTTCAACACTCCAACGCAGCATGGGTCGGCCTCAAAGCTGATCGAAACCATGTATATGTACGTCATCTTATTGTTATTCCCTAACCTCAAACCCTGACATTTCGCTCCATACCTACTGTACAAAAATCACGCTAACGATGTGATCATCGCATTGACTGGTGCTAAACCTGCATTTTCTTCACACCTAATCGGCATTTTAGCCATAGCGACTGTACGTGCATGATTACAATAGTGAGTGGTGATGTTTGCTGAAATTTTGTACCAACCATAATCCAGGAATATCCACTCCTACCACAAAAGGCGCAAAGCCCATTGCCACACAGGTGTTATCCAATCAGCTATTTGGAGTACGTCTGCTTGGGTGACACCAGCGCTCATTGACAATTATGGCACTGGTAGTTTCTGTCGCTCACTCGTTCTACAGCCCAGCAATTATTCACTTTTGTGCGCATTCAGTCAGTGCATGAGATGCATGTCCAGTCTTGAACGACCACTACACCGCCGCCTTGTGAATACACTTGTAAGGCCACCAGATGTTCAGGTCTTCTCATATTCACTATCTGCTGACAACAAGATCCAAGTACGTAATTTTATTTTACAGTCAACGGCCATGAAAACAGAAGTTATTCCAACTAGACATTTTTGTACCGGGCTCCATCTCATTTGTCTTCATCAATCAGTCAGTAAAATATAGCTTTTATTTTAGTCGGATTTGCCAACATTTTTGGAATCGACAAGCCTCCTCAATTACAGCATCGTACAAGCTCTCAACAATTCTACTGTCTGCTTGTCATTGCGCGTGGATAAGACACTCCTCTGGAACGACGCTTGCGAATCTCATCTGCCTGCTCTGTGCGGCTATCATCTGGATTCACGCTCACTACTTTCCTGGTCACACAGTCTTGATCATAACCCGAAAGAGCTGAAGTGTCCCAGTGATGAGTGGAAGCTATTCGGCGCCAACTGTTACCTTCTGGGAGGTGCTAACCTTGGTAAAAACTGGCACTCGGCGGAGATGGCCTGTGTTCATATTGGTGGACATTTAGTCTCAATCACTTCCTCTGCTGAGGCCAACTTCGTGCAATCCATTCTCCCCACCAGGCAGCTTCTCAAACCTTGGATTGGTCTGCGAGTGTCCCGTATGTAAAGAACTTGAATGATGTGGTTTTTAGAACTTAACGGTAATGCCATTCTCCCCTTCTTACAACTAAATCCTTTCATTTTTTCTGAAAAAAATGACAGGGTAATGAGAGAGGTGAAAGTTGCACGAACCATTGCACACCTTGCATACTTCTTAACACTTGTTACTTTTATTATCTTTCTTCGTCTTTGTCCATTCAATACTGCTTAGGGGCCATTTTAGAAATCAACCCTTGGTTGTAGGTGGCGCGAATGTCGATGAAAGCGCGTTTATGTCTTGGACAGATGACACTCCGGTGAACCACCTATTGCTCTATGTAGACGCCCACGGAGAGGACAAGGAATGCTTTCAGCTGGGCGGTGCGCGAGAGGAAATGCTGCAGATAGAAGCCAGTGCATGCGAGGAAGATGCACCTTTTATTTGCAAGAGGCTTGCTTCTCCCATCTCCCTCGGATCGGGTAAGTGGTAAATGCCTTTTTCAATGGCACTTACACTATCTCTACGTTGTGCTTTTTCCAAGCAAGTCAGATATCATGCATAACGTTTCTAGAACTATTGGTTGAGGTAGACTCTTGGTGTAAGCCGATTTTACTGCTTTGTTTGCTCTTTTCCTCTCCTTGGGAGTTGACTTCTCCTCATTAATGCTGGCAGTTGTACTGCTTACAGTCTGCTTCAACGTGTGGAAGGTAGAGGTTGACGCATTTTCAGTTAGAGGAGGGTGCTGTTCACCTCGCATTCCATTCCCAACAACGCTCTGTTCCAAAAACACTTGCGAACCGGCTGTTCCTCGGTCATGCGTTGGCGTCAGTCTGATACACCCATCGACTAACACTTACCTCACTAATTTTCTTGTTGGTAATTGTTTCTTGTGGAAGTGATTGCTTATGTAAGAAAATAACACGAAAGACACGCTAAATTTGACACCTCTGGTCCTGCGTTCGACCTCAACCAAGTGATGACCCCATTCTAACTGTTACACCGGGTTATTCTCGGCGCTCTGCAACTGGGACGGTTTTGAACTGCTGCAGAGGCTAAACTAGCACTGGGCGGGCTTGAGTCACGCAATCTCTTCGTCCTTGGGACAGGGGAGCCCTTGTGTTGCTCTCACTGGTTATTTGAAGACTTGCACTCCCATTTTACACGTCCTCTGCTTTCCTGCGACGTTCTTATCAGAGATCACAATTATGACACTTTTTGCACCCAAATCACTTATCTTGTGCCTGCAACACAGTTAAATTTTAATTTACAATGAAAATATCATTTTTTATTTAGATAACTGCTTACCAGGCAGCCATCCCAAGTTCTGCTTCAGCGTAAACTACACAGCAGTAAAGTTCCTTGAGGCCGTTTCAACCTGCCAGGCTGTTGGTAAACACGTGGCCACTATTTTGGATAAAACGCAACAGAACTTTGTTCGGCGCACCCTACAACAAGTGCGTCCGCCGATTTTGCATTACGGCCAAGCCTTCATCGGGTTGGAACCATAGTGATTTTTTATCAAACTCCTAGAAAAGTACAAAAAGGGGAACCGATCTCGCCATCTCGATCAGCAATGTCAAAGCTGCAGTAGGACTTTTGAATGTGCATTTACTGGAACATAAATTGGCATTTAAAACTACAAACAGCGTTGAGAAGAGATTAGGAATGTTAGAAGGGTATTTGAACATGCTAATCTACTTGTAAAACTGGCAATTAACTGATGAGATATAGTCAAGAATTGTCTAAAAATCCCATCAAAATATAGAGAATGGCTTTGAATTGCCAACTGGAAGTGGTAAAGGCGAAAAATAGCTTTTGTAAATTTTGTGCCTCGGTCGGGGACAGAACAGTTTATGCAGTTTCGAAGGTCGAGGTAGTAGTATTTGTGTAACCGATTGAATGGAAGAAAATCCTCAGGATCTGTTGGTAAAAAGAGAGGACCGATGGTGGAGTTTTATGGGACTGGGTCAATTGTTGTTGAACACTAAGCATTTGAATGGATGTGCCACATTCAAAAGAACTGTATTTCCTCTTTCAAACTGGATAATGCTCGGCCACGGCAAGTTTTTTTCACATATCTTAAGATGGTTAAGATATTTCTACACCTCTGCCTAGTTGGTGTTTCTTTGTTGACTAGTTAAACCATCTCTTTTGCAGCTTCCGTCTCCTGAATTGGAACCGTACGCCAAAAATAGGTTTTGGATCGGTCTGCTTCGATCTCACGGAATGCTCCGCTGGATTTCAGGCTATCCTGCTGTGCCATATGCCTTCTGGACAGTGGATTTTGTGGATTATAATGGTCTCTGCGTCTACGTGGATGTTGGTGAGTTTCTGGTCATTTTTAGGAGGCTCTAATTCCTCCTGCCCCCTCCTATTCCCTTTTAGGCCTTGGTCATATACTGAATTGGGGAACATCGACTTGTGAAGAGGAGTATCCATTTTTGTGTTCAAACTCACCTCCTCTGCCACTGCTTTCGTCGCCTTTGGACAACTCCCCTATTTCTTCGTTGAGCGCTTCGTGTCCTCCGGGCTTCCTCTATGCCAGTGGCAAGTGCTACAAGGTCTGTGTGTATTGCCAGTCCCATAACTAACCGTCTACTGATTGGTTATAATTGAGGCTAATTCTTCATCCTGTTGACTCAGGTGGAGGGTGATAGACGAAACAACTTCACTTTTGCTGAGGCCATCGCTAAGTGTTTAGACGATGGGGGCCACCTTGCCACCATTTCTTCGATGCACGAACAAGGTAAGACATTGTCTTCACTTTACTATTGGTCGAGAAAATCACAATCCATGAAATACTTTTGCTTTAATAGACATTATCTCGGTGCTGTTGGCCGAACGTACTTTTCCTTTTTGGATCGGTTTGAAGGCTACCATGGAAGGTCGTGAATGGGTGAACGGGGCCTCAGTCACCTACACCAACTGGAAGGAAAATTACCCCAAGTGGCCAAATCCAGTAAATGATTGTTCTTTTGAGGCTACTCAACTGACATCTGTCATCAACAGCTTCTTATTGCTTTGTAGTACCGCCCATTGTGCACGTATGTGAAGAATCAAGGAGCGTATGTTGGTCAATGGGCGGAGACCACTTGTGACGAGAAAATGGGTTTTATTTGCGAAACAAGTGAGTATCCTTAAGGAATGTGAATATCATGCGTTAATTCAAGTGCATTGCGTACTTTTCTCTCCAGCCTAGTATCACCTAAAGCATCGCTGCCATCGCCTCGTATGGCGGGCTGGCTCACTTAGTTCAATGGTTGAAGGCATGAACATTGGTATAAACATGGGAGGCATGATTTGCCCTCCTTGTGAGATTAGGCTAGTGAGGATGAGTTCCATTGAGGACCGCATGGTTTTGCAGGCGGCAACATGTTGTAATTAATTCGAATTGTGTATTTTGATCGTCTGACTGCAAGCCACAGCTACGAGGAGTGGGTAGGGAAGCCTATAACTTGTTATTGTGAGGGATTAGTGTATACGCTCTACCCATGAGGTTTGGACTTTAGCCTGGTGCTTACATGTATGCTTGAATCCTGCCGAGTGTGCGGTCGGGGTGGAAAATGAGGTCAAGAATTTAGTGCGGTCTTCCCTGCATTTGACCTGTGTGATTGTGTATCCAACACCTAGCCAGATGCTGATGATTGTAAATGAAGGGGAGAAATTTGAAGTATTTTCGTTTCAGGAATTTTGTGTTTGATCACTTTCATCACTTTCTTACATGTGCTGGAAAGTGATGGTCGCTTGTGGAGCTCTCGTTTCATGAAGGTAATTGCCTACTCGAAACTACTTTATCGGTGGTGTCCATCATCTGAAGCATTCGTTTGACTTCTCTTTTATCTGCCTTCAGTGATCTGTTGTAACTTGTGAGTAGTCGCCATTTTCATTTGATTCTCGACTATTATTCGTGCTTATGTTTACCATAGCATCAAAGGGATGTAGGACGTTATTCAAGTTGCCTTGTGGTGCTCAGTGTATAAGTAAGTGAGAGTGGAGCCCATATTGAGCTGGCAACAGGAGAAAAGTGCTGATCCACATCCATCCAAACTCTTGTCCTTCCTGGCTGGCTTTCACTGTGTGTGCTTGGCACTATGAACACATTCGTGCCTCACCTGAATGAGGTCCTCCAGTGCCATTTCTGTGGCTTGCAGTTTGTCTTCTCTTGATTGTTTCGAGGTTTTTGATGCTTATTCTTCAAACTCCAAAGTGTACATTCAATTTAACTTTATCACCTCAAAGTTAATCTCCCTAGTCTGTAGCTAAAGTCAGAGTGCTTCCTATTTCATAGTCGTTTTCCTCTGCGTTACTGTTGACTTGGTTTTAGTAGGTTGATACTCTCCCCGTCATTCCTCTCCTCCAATTCTTTGGGTTATCTGAGAAGAAGTATTTTAATCGGATTTGGAATACACGACAGCTCTCAACTCTGCTAGAGGAGTTGCAACTCAATCCAGTGTAAGATGGCGTCTGAGTGCCAGGGAACCTGAAGCTTGCGAGATTGAGTCATTTTTTTGTGGATTTTTATGATTTGCGAATTGGTGGTTGATGCAATGGAAATCATTTAACGTTCCTAGCCTATTCCTCCTCCCTCCACCAAAAAAGGTGTTTCTATTAATGTGAACAAAGGTGCCATTTTGATGGGCTTTTGTTTTTCTGCTCAACTTTCGTGCGCAGTCTTAAGTTGCACTTATTTGTCTCCTTCATTCCTCTAAATATTAACTGTTCATTAATATCTCCTCCCGATAAGATCGCTAATATTTGGCAGATCTCACGTTCTTCAAACTGCCAATCATTGCCAGCTTTAATATTTTTACTTCAAAAAGTCGCCCTAGTTGTTTGAGGTAACTTGCATTTCTCAGTTGAGACTGTTTCACTTCCACAGAGCCCATAGATGTACATCTGCATCAGCCGACTACTTCGCACCTCTTCAGTCAGGATGACTGTGCTCCAGGTTTCCTGCACTACCAAGGCGCGTGCTACATGATCCTCAACGCCTCCTTCCCTGTCCTTTCCGGTCGCAGTGCCAGTCAACTCTACGACAATGTCAGTGCTGCTTGTGCGGCCACCTCCCCGGTCGCCTTGGACTGCGGAAAAGCGCGTGGTCTTGCCGGTTGTCCGGTCGTCATGACACCTCACTCCCACACTGAGGCCGCTTTCATGCGTCTCCTTATGGGCAGAGAAGGTGGTGGCTACGTGACTGAGGTTTGGACGGGCCTTAAGATCCTCTCCAACAACACCCTTGTGAGTTGTATAGGACTAGTTTTGTTGAAAAGTCCCGGTGTTTGATCAGCCAATGTTCACTGAATATATTATTGCCTTTCTTTGTAGGACATCGCTCAAACTGAGGACCAAATGGCGCTGGGGTCAGTTGACATAGATTTCGCTCATCTGGACAATGGCGCTGGTCCTGGCTACACCTGCTTCTCCCTTCACAGGGATAATACGTTTTTGAACTCTCGTCATTGTTATATCCCTGCTCCAGCTATCTGTGGCTACTATCTTGGTAATTTGTTCGATTGAATGACTTTCTCTTGGTAGACACGCATCCTTTGCATCCTCAACTAGCCATTGTGGACGACTTCGCTTGTCCGGCCGGCACTGAGCGAGTGGGAATGAGTTGCTTCTATCGTGTTACCACTGCCAAAAAACTAGACTGGCATCGTGCGGAGGAGTACTGTGTGACCGCTGGAAGCGAAGTGATGGGCACGTCTGCCGACAAGAAAGTTGCTGGACATCTTCCTTCTATTCACGACGCATCTACACATCGCTATATTAGACAATTAGGGGGCCACGGAACCATGTGGCTCGGCCTCGTTTCAACAAGTAAGCAGTGGCTTCTGTATTCTGCTACCTATCCCGTTTTTTTTTCACATCCATCCACAGGTTTGATCTTACGGCTTTGGTAAAGTTACGTTAATTGGGGCCTTCTTCGTATTTCAAGCCTCGATTCGTTTTTGACTTCCAACAAGAACACAAAACGACTACATTAGAGCTAATCAGTGTTAGCATTATTTTAGCTGAAAAGCAAAATTTGTTTTCGATGTGGCCATAGCAACATTTCTTAACGTGCTTTTTTCATATTCCTTATAGCAATACCAGACAATAACGCCGATGATTCTCTGTTCAGCACCAAGTTGCGATGGTCTGATGACAGTCCTGTTGACTACCTCGCATTTCCTTCTGCTAAAGAGAGCAGCCAGTGGATGTCATTTGTGAAATCTCGCGAAACCTGCATTGCTTTGAATGTGAAGTCCGGTTTATGGATAGAGATTGCCTGCTTCGAACCGCTCACGTTTGTCTGCCAATTTCCCATTACAGCTTTTCCGAAAATTCATTCACTTAGTGGTAAATCGGCTTTTACAAGGTTTTTCGACATTTTAACCTCTGTGCATTCCTCTAGGCAACAAGTATCTTCCTGTGGTGACGCAATGCCCCAGCAATTTCACAATCGAGACAGAAAGCGCTTGCTATGCGGTTGTGGAGACACGACTTTCTGCTAGAGAGGCGCTTGCTTTCTGTCATACTCTTCATCCCTACTCCAGTCTCGCCTCGCTACACTCGGAGAAGGAGGAATGTGATCTTGTGAGTTTTTCTTTTCACTTCCAACGTTGACCGTCAGCTGACATTGAGGCCTTCTGTTCGTTCTTCCTCTGAAAGTCCTTCACACTCACTGCTAGCAAATCCTTATGCTTTTTTAAATCGTCAATGAAGGTGATTACAGCCTCTTGCTCTACCCCCCTTCTAACAGGTAGAACAGATGGCTAATCAGCATCCGGAGGAAGCGTATTGGTTTGGATTGTCACAGTCCGATCTACAGTACGTCTGGGCCGATTCCAGTGTGGTGGATTACGTTCCCAAGACTAACATGACTGCCGAATCCTCGCACTTTTGGCATTTTCAGGACTGCTTTACTTTCATTCCGATACGCAACGGTTCCAATGCACTTTTGAGTGAGTTATTGTCTTTCTCATTTTCACTTCTTTTGTATTAGTGGTTGTTAGTGTTCAAGAGGGAAATGCTTTGCAATAGAGTGCACGAAATCTGCACCACTGCAAGTTAAAAACAGCCACTTTTGTTGAATGAGTTGATTAACTTATCTGTCTAGGCACAGAAGTTCATCCACGCCTGAAAATTAGGACTTGATAGAAATAGCGGTCAAACTTAAGAGTAAAGTTAAATGGAGGCGAACTTTGCCTTCATCTTACACTTACAGCCCCGACGTGGTACGAGACCGATTGCTCTGCTGAGCGACCTTTTATCTGTCAAATCTATCGTGGCATCCATGGGCCACCGTCTATGGAACCGGCTCATCCCGCTCGTTCCGACTTGCCACCTTTGCAGTGTCCTCGGGGCTACAGGCAGTACGAGGACCGGTGTTTCAGGGTCAGTTGGGCTAATACCCCTTCCCCACCCATCTATTTATGGTGTCAGTGATTTGTTGGTCTTTCGTCCAAAATTTTGTGAAAATATGTTTATCATTCCAGGGACTCTGATAATCTCTTCTTGCAGTTTTCCTTATCTCATGTCTTTTGGTTGTCATTTCGATTCTAGTTTTTCCCACTACTGAGGTCATTCGATGATGCTGAATTAATCTGCAGGAGAACGGTGGAGGAGACGGGTTTCGTAGGTTCTCTTGCCAGAATCTCGAATTCTCGCGAACAAGGTATCTTGTTTCCTGTTTAATCTAAACAACAACTATTTACCATGATATTTGAGTTTGGTAGAATACTGGTAGAAGCCTACCTAACATTACTTTACAGGGTGAATTTGTTGTTAAATCTGATTTCTCCCTTCGCAGACTTCGTGGCAGGTCTTTTTGCTGCGGAGGCGCCACGACAGCCAAGCATGGCGTGGATTGGGTTAAGACAGAGTGAAAAACGCTGGACTGACGGCACAAAAGTGACCTTCTCCCGAGAGAGTCTCGACTTTCCTGTTCCTGTGCCTCGAGATGAGGAGAACACGGTTAGTGATGACAAGTGACAGTTAGTGGTATCTAAATGCGACTGCTTCCATCTATTAATCTGAATGCCTTTACATCTCAGTGCAAAATTATTTGTTCGTGCTGGAAGTGTGGAGTAGTCTCCACCACTACGTACTTTTCGCTCTACATGGTCGTTGATGAAAGGCCTAATTTTTTTGTAACATTGATGGGAGGAAGACAGAATGTAATGAATCTCTGCGTGGAGGTGACTAGAGAGTTTTGGGATTGATGCACACTGCATTTCTCTGACCTCCAACTCGTATCCATTGGAGTGAGTGTTTGTCATGACTTCCTTCGTTCCATTTTTTAGTGTACATTTTTGCTCTACTCCTCCAATGTTCACTTTTACGGCCTCTGGTCGCGTTCTGCATGTTCTATCACGGATCAGGTTTACTTCATCTGCCAAGCTGTGCCCATCTCCCTTACCGCCGTCACCGTAGCCAACAGGTCCGAAATTGATGATACGGATTCGACAGCTCTGACCTGTGGTGATGGATACACCTTGGGCTTCTTCAATCGCACTGCACTGGCGCTGGGTGAATCTTTGTCGACACCACATTGCCTACAACTAGTTAGCGCAATGCCGATGACGTGGCAGGTTGTCAAACACCCCTTTTTTAACCCTTGATATTAGAATTCATATCTAGTCCATCATCCAGTCATGCATTCATGGTTGCCTTTTTTCGATAGAATAGGTGCGTTAAACTCTTCCCTTTATTCCGTATGGGACTTTCGTTCAGATGGTTGGCATCCTTGTAGGATGCTAGAAGCCTATGCAAGGAACAATCAGCTAGCCTGCCCTCGATTGACACACTGGCGGACCTGAGTTTTCTCCGAGTATGGCTCCAAACACCTCAATCTCTTGGTGGTGCTGGTCTCTCCTCCAACGCATCTGTCTGGCTCGATCTTCGTGTGCCTGCCTGCCCGAAGTGCTACTCGGTGCGTTTGTTCGCCTGCCTCAAAGTCTATGTCTCAGTAGGGCAGAGAAGGTTATGGATGCGACGTAACTCCTGTTGATACAGTCACGATTGTGGAACCTTGGCAGACCACTTTTTTGAAATATTTATGTCTAAATTCGAGTTAATTTCGCGGAGCTTGAATGACTATTGGGGATCTTAGATTATTTTGCTCGTCTCTTTCAGAATTGGCGTTGGCATGCCAATGAGTCGGACGAGTCTCCAGTACGATTGACAGACTGGTTCAACGCACCACCTGATCCCTCCGGTTGCTATCTTTTCCACGTCGCGTCAGCGGCATCCAATTCTGCCACTGCTCCCCACCTCCGTTCCATTAGACCGGCGGTCTCTTGTACCAATATCAGCCTCCCTGTGGTGTGCCAGAAGAACCTGCCCTCGTTCTCTAATAGGATTCGGTCCCCTGTAGATCATTGTGTGCAAAATCCCACTCCGGAACTTTCTAGTGTCATTGCCTTTCACACAAACCACAGTGTTGCCAAATCGGGTCGCGCTTGCATCAGGTTAGTCCATTCTTAAACCTATTTTGCAAGGCCTTACTACTCATTAATTCCTCCAAATTTAACGCATGCGTTCGCTCTGTATTCTTTCACATCCCTGTGTTTCTCTCGATTTCCTGATTGTACCCCTTCTTTACAGATGGGATCTGGTACAACATGACTTCAATCGCTCGGATGCGGTGCTGCCGCGAAACTGGCGCATCTTCACCGCGATGATCGCATACAGCGAGCATGCGAGTCCATTCTGGGAAGAGCATTGTGCCCACCTAGCCGTACAAGACACCACAGGCAAAACGGTGTATCGCTATGCTTGCTACACCTCCACGGATCCGGATAGTGGTCTAGAGGACTGTGACTTGGAAGATTGCGTTACCAGTCTCATCCCTCTTGGTTGGATAATTTTCATTGCACTTTTCTGCCTTGTTCTCGGTGTGGTGATCACTTTGTGCTTCGTGCGAGCTCAAAATCGGCAGCGCTTCTTTATCCCCCGGGGTCGGCGATTTCCTCCCATCAAAATGACCGCAAGTAGCTCTGTTTTTGGAAGTGCGGCAGCGGCCCAGAAACACCGATTGCAACAACACGAAGTACTCTACAACAATGGTAATGGCGATTTTGCTGCATCCTCTTTGCGCATTTTTGACGCTGCCGCGCCCTCTTCGCCGCTGCACTCACTTGTGCCTTCGCTGACGTTCAAGCACCACATCCACCGACCACTGCATGACCAGGACTCCCTGCTACTGAACGAACCCGACAATGCAGACGAGTTCATGGGGCCAGTGTGAATGGTGTTGCTGGCTGTCACCCTTACTGAGAGAGTTAGTAAGAGTCTCCTGACACACTTGCGACTGTGACCCCTCACCTTCATCCCTTCTTGCTCATCTTCAACCGCTCTTTCACTAAAGGCCTTCGTCATCCCCATTTTACATGATCATAAATTTATACATTTTTATAATTCTGAGAGAGTTGAAAATACAAATAATTGTTTATGAAGCGATGGAAAGCGGTTTTCCGTTGGCAGAGCTAGACATCTTTCATGTATGTGATCAGTGGCAAAAGTGTTCTTCAATACTTTTTGCTGGAAGAAATCAAATTGTCCAACATCCAGTGCCTCTGGTCCCATTCTCATGGACGGAGGTGGCGATCTTTGAGTGAATGAATGCATAAGGGATGTAATATATATTCTGTACAAACACCGTTCACACGTCTAGTGCTACTGGAAGTACATTGGCATAGTGTCACAAGCCCGAACAGGACAGAGCGGATGAAAGGTAAAGGACGATAGTCTCGTTTAGTGAGTGGTGAAAGCCCTTGTGTTCGCCTTGAGGGTTGAGATCGAGTGCGTGTGCGTGTGCGTGGATAGCCCAATTTAGGGACGATGAAACCTACAAAAAAGGGAGCTTATTTAGGCATTGCAAATGAACATGGTACTCATATGCGGTAAGTAGGGACTGTTTCGCCCACCTTGTAAATTGTCTACTGTCTACATGGACGTCCATTTCCTTTGATTTGAACTCATTCAATTCCTTTCGAATGTCCGCCTGTAAAGGACGCAATACAAATGTAGTCTTGCCACCTTAGATGTGCGGTTGTCGCTATGGCGAACTTAAAGGGGAGTAGAAGTCTCAAATTCTTGCAGAAATTAGCCATGCTATTAAGTGAATTGATGGATGTGAAAAAGGAAAAAAAGTAGATTAAAAGGATATGTATCCTAAATGAAAAGAACCTGCTACCAGCTTATACGAAACACCTCCACCTTCAGAGATGACATTCGTAGACTACGGGAGCGCAAAACGAGACAGTAGACGATGGGAACTTAAAAACAATGTTAAGGAGCTGACATCCAACCTTGTCTTTTGGTGTGAGGCGAGTCCAGGGTTTGTCTGCACGTCTGTCGTAGGTCACAGCCTCGGTCACTTCGACATAGTCGTTAAAGCGAATGATCCGGCGATTCTTTAGCTCCTCTACCGATGGCCTGAATGAGAGCTGGTAAGAAAAAAAGGAACACAGTGTTTTAGGTGGGTAAAAAAGCAGTGGAGTGGGAAAGACACAAGAGAGGGTGGACAATTACGCGAAACGTCCACAATCCAGCACTTAAGAGGGTTGAGAGGAATGCCAGGAATGCGCACTCACACGTTCATCTCTAGTAACGCTCCTAACAAAAGGTTTCGGGAAAAAAAAAGGCGGGAGGTATGCTACTACAATATGACTCGGGGATATGAACTCAAAATTGCATATTTGCATTAACATCTTTCGACTATTAAAATAATAAAGGAGAAAGTACACTTTCCTACCAATTCTCATGTTGTAGCACACAAATTCACATGAAGGAGAGGTCAAATAAACCACGATAAAAAAAAGTAGAAGAAGTACAAATTGCATCAGCCCATCACAGTGCTTAGGCAAGGCCTTCAGAGCAGTTTCAGCTTTGGAAGGTCCACTAGTCATCAAAAGAGCATGTGTTCACCATGAACGCCAATTTGACAACCAGCATGAGCTGGCCCACATGTTCATCGGCAGAATCATTACTAAACTGGAATTGGGCGTCTTCACACCAGACTGGGTCTGCAAATTTAAAGCATCGTTAGTCATCAAGTCTTGCTGCCCGTCCAAACCGCTAACAGCGATTGGACAGCAGTGGAGTTGACAAACGAGAGGTGTGTTGGAACACAAACCCCATTCTCCCAATTCAACGAGGTATCGTTAGTGCCTTCGAAACCCAACACTTTCTTAAAATCATAACAACACCAAAACGTAACCCAAAAAAAAGAACTGAAAGCCATCGCAGTTACAGTCTATCGGCTCCTTCAACCCGACAAAAAAAAGCTGTAAATTCCACTGTTATGTCTCTTGGCGGGGGAGGTGAGGAGAGGAGCAACTTTATAACCCTACATTCGTCGCCGTCTCCGGTTTCACCTCACTTCTACATCTCAACTGACATTCCTGTGGCTCGTTGTCAATGTCGGTGAGTGGGGAGCGTCCACTCATATCCCTTTCCCGGCGGGTTTCATCGTCAGTCAACTGGAGCATAACGTATGCCAAACATGACAGGTAAAATCCAAATTAATTAGACTGCCGACACACATATTTCCACAATACAAATAAGAATAGAGCTTTCCTGAAGCAATATGGCACCATTCTTCCCACCATCCATCGCATCTCCTTCAATTTCAGCAATAACAAACCCTGCAAGGACCTTCCGCAGGCATTGGAACGCAATCCACATCCTTGAAGGTAGACCAAAGCAGTTTCACAAAAAAAAAACACCCTTTTTCGTGTGCCCAACTTCTGAATAGTCCAGAGTACCCCCAAAACCTTACATTCTCATGAGATTAAAGGGAATCCGCTACTTCGCACGCAATCCGTGCGACCGAAAACTGCACAGTGGAATACGTTCAAGAGCGTGTGACCCATCCCCTTGGGCTGCTACATTTGGAGGCTAGGCAGCATTCTTTTTTTTGAATGGGAACAAAGTCAGATTCCAAAATTATGATGAAAGTTTGCATTTGTATGCCTCACCTTTCGCGATAGCGTTTGCTTCTTTTCCTCCTTTTCTCGCATGCGTGACTCCTCACTTCCCACTATAATCAAATAAAAGCAACAGACAGCTATAAAGCTTGACTGCTTTTACGGTTTTTCAATAGTATAGAGATTTTAACTCACAGTGGAGAATATTCTTTTGTTCCAGTTCACCAGGAGTCGGTCTCTGACTTAACTGGCGCTCCAGACTGACCTCAATCTTGGCTCTCAGCTCAGCACGCATTTGTGGAGTGCGACCAGAGAGAATGTTCTTGGCCAGGAGGTCTTGATGGCTTGGCCGACGTTCCAAAAAGCCTGCCAAATAGAGTGCCCGTCGTTGCCACAGTTCTGAATCTGCTCGACGAAGAGAAGCGAGTTCTTGGGGAGTATTCGGTGGAGTCGCGGAAATGGCACAATGAACACTTTCAACCTCGTCTTCCCTTGCCTGTTTTGCTGACGTTGCCGTTGTGACTGGCAATAGCGGGGGACGCGGACGGTGGAGGACGGAATTGAAGCGCGCGGAGAGTTCTGACACCGTCCGCAAAGCTGATGACGAGGGACGCATAGAGGCACCACATTCCACATCACTTGTCGACGACGATGGAGGCGAACTCCTTCGCATACTGTAATTTCAATATCACACACTAGATTGGCCTTTAAAATGATTGAGCGTGTGTTGACCGCCATGTAGCAACCACGATTTAATGCTTATTTTCGATAAGGAAAAGACAATTCCCACAACCGACTCAGATTTATCTCAAGCCAAATACGGCAACGGAGTTTGAATGTGCTGTCACACTATGTCCATTATTTGAACTAACTTTGATGCAATTCTTGCACATTTGGATCACCAAAAGAATACATCAGAGATTAGATTCACTAGAATAGTACATGTGCATTGTTAAGTCTTTCCTGTTAAACATATGCACATAATCGTAACAGGCAAATGAGTGGGTAGAAATTCAGTGTGGTTTGCACTTATTGAAATGTACTTTCCTAACAAAATTAGCGATTCTACCTGAATGATCGTCAAATGGATTGTGGAGGTAGAGGACAACAAGTAAAATGTTCAAAAAAACCCTCGGGAGCAAGTCTTACGCGAGGCGAGTCTTTAATTCGGAGGCGAAGGCGTCAGCTGCGATAGTAACGGAGATGGAGACGGTGGAAGCGGCAGAACTTTCGTTAGTAGAGGAAGTTTTACAGTTGGTGTTGTTGTTGTTGGTGTTGTTGTTGTTAACAACGACAGTAGTGTTGGAAGGCAGCGCGGTAGAGTGATGTAGAGGGGCGGATAAATCACCGTTAGACGGAGGAGAGACAAACGCACTTCCGTTGGCCAAACGATTCTGCCCACTTAGTGGTGCTGGCGGAGAGGTAATTGGCTCTGGAGGACAGTAGAAGACAGGTGATATACGAATATGTGAGCTATTAGCTACATCGTCGGATGCAAAGTGCACAGCAGGGAGGCAATTTGTGTGGGCAAAAGATGCCATTCTGTCAAGCAGAAAAGGCCATTCTACTAACTTGTAAAGGTGCCTTTTCCATTCGAACCCCTTTCTACTCACTTTTGACATGAGCTGGGAACCGTCAATCCCCCCAATCACCAATTCCCCATTCGCTTCCGCCCCAAAACCCTTCACCTGCTTCACAGGTCTTTCAACAGTGCTTCCAATATTTCAACATCCTCCACACAGATATTCCACAAAGCCTCGATTGTCTGCCACATTTGCCACACTAGGCGCTCATAAGAACAAATAGCAATAGCAATTCGCACTGCTTATCTAAAATTGCATTTAAACAGGCCCACAGTCCTTTCCACCGACCTTGAATAAACGTAGGAGGGAGGAAATACTCACCTAATAAAAGCATAATCTGAAGTACACTTTGAATAGTAACGGAAATTACTTCAATAAACCATTTACACCTCGAATGGCCTCAATTTAGGGAAGCAGAAAAAACGGAGGGGTACACACCCAATGACCATATAAACTTCGCCACTGCCGATGGGTCGGTTTTATGATCCCTGAATGTGGGATGGTTTTGTGTACTTCTTATGATCCCTTTCCTTCCACCTACAATGACCAGCCAAATCAAATCACACCGTTCAGCTAATGAAACCGCTTTTTTTGGGGTCCTCGAGGATCAACCAAATTTTCCCAAATGCAGTTCAATTGGCCCGGAAACCTCATCCCCATCGGTGAAAAGCAGAACAAAGAAGTGGAGAAGAAATAGATGCATGTTATTTTTCAGCTTATCGAAAGTGTTTATGCATTGACTGACATTTCTACCTCAAAATCGTCTAGGCCAGGCAACTTAAATGGTGAGGAGATAAAAAAAAAGTCGGAATGAGGAACTGCGACAATCTAAATGCGCATCAGTTTGATGACATACTTGATTGCGTCATTGATTGATGTTTGAGGAACAGGTGATACCTTTGCCCCACCTCGTATTCCCAATTATTTGGAAAGTTTAAAGTTCACTGATGTGAAAAAAGGCAATTATGCTAGGATTAGTGGTTGCGCACACAAAATGAGTGGTGAATCAATCCCTCGTCCTGTAGCTATTAAAGTGAGACCTTAGCCCTCCGATTCGGGCACTACTGTTACATTGTAGCGAAATAAAGTTTTGCGTTTCAGCATCTCCCCAAGGTAGTTACCAGTACGACTGTCTGTTCACACCAGTGGAAAGAGAGTATGGCTTCCAACGAAGCCTTTACAAAGCATGAGCGTTGAAACACATCATCCAATACGCCTTCGCACCCTGACGCCAGCAGTTATGACCTACGTGCATGTCAAATTTGAACCGATCAGAAGACAGTGAGACTAATTACAATAGAATTACAAAAACGGTGAAAAAAAGGCGCTAGAGAAATTCGATTGACCAACTTTCCAACAAAAAAAAACTCCAACCTGCAAAGCACGATCCCAGGTAGGCCGTCACGCAGCCCCAAACAACCCTACTCAAGTAAACCTACAAAATACAGCCTGTCAACAAGCACTCGGAGACCTTCTCACCCAACGGCATGAGGCAGTGAACGAAGTTGCCCGTACACAGGAATGCGGAGGCAGCAGCCTCAAACACAGTACAGCGAGCAGACGTCCACCTATCAATGAAGATCTCAATTTTGGTGCATTCACATTCACATTCTTGGTGAGCAGTCAGTCAGTAGGCAAAACTCTTGTCCCCTAAGCAGTTACTTGCGTGGTGTAATGATAAATTGCAGCAAAGGCAGAAGCATCCTTCTGTAAGGGGAATGTATTCATTCACGCAAATTTCAAAGACTTGCCCCATGCTATTGGGATGATGGTAGTAAAGTAGAAGGAAGGAATCTCAGGAAGACAGTAGAAGTTTGGACAGCACCGCACACACAGTATTACTGCAGCCTTGCTTAGCCCCCGGCGGCCCGAGGGTTACAGCAGCATGACTGAGCAAAAAAAACGAGACTCAAACCATAAAGATGGTGCACAATTCAATAAAAAGGTGTTAATTTTCAAAAGACAGAAAAGCTGTTCATTCTATATCTCAATGTTGGGGTTCCAGCTTTTTTAATGGGCAGACGTAAATGTCATAGCAATTCAAATTTGCATTGTTTACACTCAATGTAAACAAAATGTGTTCCGTTCTGAAGGGGGCAGTGGATTACTGATTGATCAAAAAGGAGTAAAAATGAAGGAAAGGGTAACGTGCATCAGACTGGCACTTGCAGACATCGTCACAGCGCCTGTCACTTCAGAGCGTAGGGCAGTTTTTATGCTCTCCCTTACTCTTGTCCTCCCTCCCGCTTTCTCTTACGCACCAACATCAAAGACTTTGCATTGCCCTCCTCATCCCCTACTTTACATTGCCCCCTTTCCTTTCCTTCTACATAAATCATGGCGTAGACGGATGAGGGTGAAGGCACGGCCTACAGTCGAGCATGGTCGATGGATGATATTGGGTTGGTGAGTGAGAGCTGGGTGGTGACAGAAAATAGCCCGAACAGTGCAACTCCATGCACACGTAACAAGCCCAACCCCAACTCCATCCACAACATCCTCCAATTTGGTACCGACAGCCAAGCAATTTTCTGCGTCCTTACTAATTCAAACACAAACCAGCATTCGTCAACGATTGGCATAATTTCAACTGAACAATGACTAATGGTACATTTGATGCTTGAAAGTAATTAAGCAGTAAAGACCCATTTAGAAGGGAGGAAAGACTGCACTCAAGACCTAGAAAAGGAGCCACTTGTGGGAGCATTTAGAAGGGGTTGTGGAAACAAGCAAATGCTAAATTAGAACCTCGACAGCAGTGAAAGCTACACCTAAAATTTGGATCTTCCCAATTTTTCTTGACAAAAAACTTAACTACAGGCACTGTGAAGGACACCAAATGGGGAAGAGAATTTCGAATGAAGAGATGGGAAAGAGTAGGTGATGCAAGCAAAGGGCGCACATAAAAACCACATCAAGTAACGTTGGGAGAGACGAGTGGAGCACTTGAGAGATGACCTTGACATTTAAGGAGAAAGATGTTTCCCAAACTTTTGCCAATTTACAACTATGCGCAATATTCACTGGTGACACAAAGATCCCCTTACTCGTCGCCGGGGCAAAACCACTGCTGCGCAAGTAGAAGGCGCCATCCAAGAATGGCTTATAGTACAACACTTAACAAAATAAAAACAGATTTGAGGAACCGACTCAAGGCTTATGAATTGCAGTTGACAAGGCCAAAATTTATCCCAAGAAACATTATAAGATAACCATAAAACAATGATATATAAGCGTCCTTAGTGAACAAAAAGCAGTCGCGCGGTTTTTTCTCACAGCTCGACACGCTTGTGCGCACTTAAAAGTAAATGAAGTGTGTTTAAGGAAAGAAAAACTCCTTTTGGGATATTGACACCTCGCGCCCTAATGTGCACCGTGAAACCACCTTTTGGATAGACGTGAACTCCACAAAGCAGAAGCTAACTCGATTGTAACGCTGTAGAAGTTGATTATCACACTCGATGCATGACTTAGCAGTCTCATTTCGGTTGTGAATCTCTCAAAGACAGGTGCACCACATCGAATAAGACCCTCAAGTCTTTAAAACACCTCACCAATGCTATGTAATGCGAGGCAGTTGGTTGACTTCTGTGTGAAATGGGAAGTGGGAACCGTAGAATCGAAACTAACCGTGAATGTGGACTTCTTAGTCTTTGTCTTCTTCCGCTGAAATGACCCTTATTGGTGAATTGGTTGGTTGGAGGACATTCGTTCCAAACAACACATGACGCCGCATCATCACAAAACACATCAATGAGCAGGTTAGCAGCTTATGGTAACAATGGAGGAAGTGAATAAATTGGGCTCAACTTTGTTAACACGTGACAACTACCACCTCTTAGCTTACATGCGAAATCATCAACTGACCACTTGCAGAAGTTAAACATTGAATGGAAGTAGAATTTCGCAGCTTGTGCCATGTCATCGCAGAGAGAATGCCCGATTCCTGTTGTAATTTGAGTGAATAATACGAAGTGAAGAAAAAACCTTAAGTAATTTCAAGTCCATCATAACAGCGTAAAATGACCAACAAAGTGTCGAAAAGCGTAACGAAAGCAGTAGAAAGCTTCAACGTGGGACTTTAATTAATGAGGATCACATAAAAACCTTTGTTTTTAGGTCAAAAAAAAATATTCATATATAAAAGTCGAGAGGAGAACGTGATAAGGAGAACAAAACCCTTATTCAACGTAGGAGCCGCCTTGTTAATACTAGCCGCTTTTAGGGACCCAGAAAACTAATTGTTGTCCGCCTGTGGCAATCCCAGGGACACCAATCAACAAGCGACAAACAAGGAAAGGAGAGCTTTGGATGACATTTAGCTTAAGATGTAGAGGATGGCTTCACTCGATCGGGAACGCTGCCTTCAAGTAACGCAGATAGCACTAGAGTTCATACAAAGCACAAATACGCAAGTGTCATAGACGATGTCAGTGCGTCATGAAATGGGAGCATTTGGAACACACAATTCCGCACAGAACGCGTACACACGCATTCTGATAGCCATTTAAACATCTTTGTGCACTCACTTATGGGTAACGACACTTAGATGTTCACGAAAATGGACCTTAAGAGCTGAAAAAGTAATTTACATTTTTAAACCAACAAAATGAGAAAATTGAGAAGGCATTGCACGGAGCAAATCCGGCACTCCTAATAGCGACTCCACACCCACACACACGCCTTAGGTCAGTCAGGATTAGACACTGTTCTCTCGCTTATAAATGGCAAGAGCAGGAATAGCTGGAATATGCAACAGATTTTAGAGGCCAACAAAGACGTACAACCCGAAGCAGCGAGTATATATTTCTGCTGACAGTGGAATGTTCACTTCTAATGCGGCATTTAAGTTGTGTCGTGGTTATGAAGGGGATCTAGTGGTCAATATTCTGAGACCATTCCTATGAAGAAAAATTCAGTTGACCAACGAAACTAAAACATTTGCACATGAATGATCGTAGAATTGGGTGTTTAGCATCTTTTCTGATTGGGCAGCTTCAATGATGAAATGAAGAAGAAAATTCTACTTGACTACGTTTTCGAAGCAACTCAGAGGGTTAACGGATCCCGCAAAATAAAAACTTTGCGAAGCAACAAGAACAGCTAGCACTGCCTAGTTTGTGCTCGGTTATGTTCCGAAATTAGAGGTTCTAATTTAACCTAACCGCCTACCGCATTTGAGAAAATAATTTAGCAGTTAAACACTTGTAAACTTAGACGAAATTATATGTTAGTAACAAATCCAAAAAAGTCATGTGGATGATACTAAATGAAGGGAAAAATTGGCCAAAAGATAAGTTAGAAGTCGAAAAGTAGAGAACAAGCAAAGCACGGATAAGTCCTCTTACCTAGGGCAATGAGATGCGAACAAGTGAGAAGGAGGAACTATATGCATGATCTCTAGCACCTGCGGACTTGCATAAATTATTTCCAGTTAGAGCGCACCAGAATGCCGCAATGCAAATTTGACGATAAGAAATCAAACTAAGCTACCGTGAGTAATGTGCGCCAACCCGTTTCAAATTTCCCCAGTGCAAACAAACACCCGGTAAACGAGGTGAATATTGGAGTCGGAAAGTTAGTCATCAAGAAACTATTCAAATTGAAGGGACCTTTTCCTCCTCCCAGCTGTCGGGATAGGCCTTTGTGCACACACCCAATTACGATGATAAAATGGTGCAAAACATGCGCCCTTAGCGACGCGCGCACATGCATCGCAAATTAAAATAGGTCCACTTAAGGACGCCAAAGTCCGGTTATGCCCTGCAGGCAAAGAATGAGTACTTAATCTAGTGTTTCCCTAAATGAACACTATGTGGCGCGAGGGAACGACACGCACACACATGTGTATGTGAACTAGGTGAGACAGATATGCGGGTTAGTAGAATGTTGATGTATGACTGTGCCTAAACACGACTTGTATGGTTGGGAAAATGAAATGGCAGCACCAAATGAGAAATTCGATTAGCGGTAAAGGTTCAGGAACATACCATCATTTGCAGAGACTTCATCCAAGTTGGTGTGAGATGATAGGCAACCTATTCGAGACCTTTCCGAGGCGAAAGCACATCCGGAAATCACTTCTTCAATCCTATTGGTATTTTGTGCGGTTGGGAAAGCTACGTGAGGGTAATGGATAAATCTAATAATCATAATTGATACATTTACGGTGCTGTATAATGATTTAATCATATTAGTAGGCCCCAGACACCTTCAGTAATATGAACGAAACACGATAGGCTTTTAGACAGTAGAGTTTTTAAATAATAAAGAAAGGAAACCATGAAGAATTACTTATAAGCTGACAACCGCCGACAAGACCAATAGAACCCGAGGAAGTAGGTGAATCGCCACTGCTGAGGGGTAGACAAAGGGGTCTACATTCCGAATTACACTCTAAAGCAAAATTTCAAAAACATTAGAGCCTTAAGTAAAATACAACATCAATCAGTACGAGCGACTTCAATAAGGTATAAGTAATAACATCCAAGCATGGGATCCAAATACCCACGAGAGTTAATTTTCAGAGAATAAGGGCAGATACTAAAAAATAAGACTAACCTGTCGGATGGGGATTCGAGGCACAGTTTCCAAGATCGCTGGAGTTAAAGCGAGCGTTAGCATTGACGATAGAAAAACCAGAGCTATCAAGGTGTTTCTTAGGATCCGATTTGGGAGATTGAAGCTTTTTAACCCATCCCAAATTGCGAAATTGTCGCAATAATTTGTTAACACCCTTTTTTGACGGATTCTGCAATTGTTTGTTTAATGACTCAGAAGGAACAGATGCAACAACTTGTTCCATCAATTACAAAATTTTGCTTGGCACACTTATATCAAGCCAATCATTCAATTTCCATAAATTATGATGCAATTCGAAGCATGCGCGACCAGCGAGCAAGTACAAATGCAGCCAACATAATTTAAAAAAACATGTAAAACTACATTAATTCAAACAAAGTTAAAAATAGCAAATGTTATCTTTAAATATGCGCTAATTTATTATATAAATTTATTAATTTGTTATTACAACTTTATTTTCAGCAATAAATCATTGCAAAGGCATGGAATTAGTCAAGCTTCTAGATTTGTGTGACAAAAGAGCCTATTGTGAACGCGAATCACGTGCGTGAAGTCGGCGAGAAGCCTCCCTCCGTTAAATATCTCCAACTCACTTCATTTGTACTCATTTCCTATACTTTCTAATAGTAATGCCTAATAAAGCGCCTACAACTAACTTCCTCTTGAAGCCTGAAGGCCAGGGACCAAAGAATAGACAGGTGGTTACTACGCTGGTGGCAGCGTCGACATCCCTTCTTCAAAGAAGGCACTGGTTTTGAGGGCTGGCTTTTCTTTACAAAGACAGATCGTGAACTCTCGAGCCTGCTCAGTGAGTGCCATTACTACTCCGCGCCTTGCCCTATGACCTACGTCGGGAAGCAATGGATGCGGGTGTCTCGCTTTCCTCAGATATGGAAGACTGCTGCAAGGTTCTTGTTAAATTGCCATTCCTCCAGAAGGAAGAGTCTTCGACTCCAGAATTTTTCCATCGGCTACAAAGACCGGGAGAAAGTGATGAAGACTTTGCGGGGAATCTCCTAGCATTAGCCAAATAGGCATTCAAAGATTGCTGTCCCCTCCGGGTTGCCTCATGGATAGCGGTCCAGTTCAAAAGGGGTATGCGTCCACCCGTTTTGACAGAACAACTGATGGAGATGAAGACTAGTAAATTAAGCCGCCTAATCGATGTGGCACTAGCTAAGTGCCAAGAGTTACATCTCTCAACCGAGTTCAAGGTCCGCATTCGCCCGTAGACTCCAAACAAACGCCCTACTGGCGAGCAACGGCGAGCGCCCCAACCGACAGGCTAGAAGGTCACACATGCTTACTTCTTTTGGAATTGGGGGCAACCCATTCCCTACTACACCCACAGGCCTTCCACATGGTTTGCAGTAAGGTTAATATTACCCCACCGGCTACCATACCACGCTCTGCAAAAGGAAAAGAAATTTCGATAATAGGAGAAATGCTTATCAGAGTTTCAATCGGGAATGACAGGTGCGAGAGTAATCTTGTGCTGTGCCCAGAGCTAGCCGATTTTTCACGCCATTCCCGAGCGGTTATGAACTTCGATACAGGATGGTCCAAGAAGAAGTGTTCGATCCCTTAACCAAGGAAGACACAGATGATATACTCAAATCCCTTTTCGTTGCCCTTGCCATCCCCGGAACCAATCTAAACAACATCTGCGCTCAACTAAAACAGGTTACTACAGCTGAAAGGAAGGAACTGCACTCACTGCTGAAGAATTACTCTCCTGGGAGGGAACGGAACTCGGACGAACGAGCGAGCCTACTTCCCATCACTGGAGAAACATGCAGAGCTCCGACCTCGATAGAGCTTTAGTTTATGAAAGACTAAGGACATATTCGGCCAAGCCCACAGCTGAGGAGATGAGTTCGGTGAGCGGAAGAGCCAAGCAAATATGGCGAAAGTGGGAAACCCTCTCTCTGGAAGACAAAGCGGCAGATCCTATATACTTCCTTGATGTAGGCATCCCTGTTGGAATTGCATAAGTAACTCGGCCATGTGGGGGACAGGACAATGCTTGACGCCGCAACGAAGAGGCATTGGTGGCCCTTTTATCAGATTCTTGTGTTAAACATCCAGTGCAGTTTAAGCCACGTCTACCGGGTTGCGCAATATGCGACAGCGTCAGATGCCACCATAGTGACTAACACCCTATTCAGCTTCGTACATAAAAACCAACGAACATATTGCTAGTTATGACCTCACTTCTATTATGGTGGGTAAAATATATAAGGAGCAAATTAAATCAGAAGCGCATCTCACACTAATAACTTTCCATTAGGTATTTAGCAATTGAGATATAGATCGGATAGAGGGGAATCAATTTACTCGTCGAATATCATGCGTAGATAAACTCGGAAAAAAGACTCATGTTCAAAAATTCCAATTATACAAAGTCGAATAGTGTATAATTGCCTTCCCCAGCGTACTTGACGCACAAAACCTAAAACGCTTTTCAGGGTATAAAGACTAAACAAACCGTTACCTCAACTATTGCTCCGGAAAGGTTTGCGCATAGGTAAGCACAAAACTGCAATATTTGGAAAACCCACGGCACTCCCGCGTGTGCGAAGGTTTCAAGAGGTGAGTCTTAAGCGTAAGTACTTTCAATACCACTGCAACCCGAGGCAAATGCGGGAGAAAAATAATACCAGCACAAGATTTATTGCCCTAATAAAATACACAAAAAGTGGCTTCATTCAACTTTCTTCTTCTGGCTCATTGCCTTCTTACGCTGAGCTAACATATGGCTATACATGACTGGACTCCCTGTTAAAAGCTGTTAGGCGAAACCTACGAAATGCTCACCTGGTATGTAGAGCAGCAAGAACAAGCAGTAAAGTTCATATGTACTAAACCCAAAATTTAGAACGTTAGGAAGTAGGAAATATATCCAGGGTTTGCGAGCCGCATAGGGTAGCGAATACCATAGGAGCGCAATCTCACCCTTGCGAACAAGAATTACTTCAGAGAAGAAACTTACCGCAATACCGGTTGGATAGAGCACCAGAAAGAGGTTATATCTAAAAATAGTAAGAAGTCGTGGTGCTTCCATGAAAGAACTGAGAAAGTAATAGAGGTAACGAGTAATGTCAGCCAAACACCAAGAGACAAGCATCATTTGCTTGAAATTCACATGCTTGCTAACCTAAATATTTATTTAAAAGAACCAAATGAATACAAACCTCAGAATACATATACAAAACGCCCCAGAGAATAAGTAGACGAGAAGATATTTGAATTGCTGTAGCCATGGGAGAAGATTTAACAAGCCTTAAAAAGGCATGTACAATCTAGCAAACTTAAAATTGTGCACACAAAATCTACCTCCAGTATTGCCAAAGTTTGAAAAATTAGTAATACCTGCTCACAATGGTATTTGACTGAACTTTGGGGAGCGAGGACCGAGCAAAGAGCGAAGCTCCAACTGAACGTATTAAAAATATGGATAAAAACATACCCTAGCAATTGAACCAGGTTATAAGCCGCCAAATATACTGAAATAAACTTCGACATGTGAAAGCCTCGCCCCAACCACGATCCCCACCTAGGCAACCACCAACTCAAAAAAAGTGCCGAAAAACAACAGACAGTTGGTTACTCCAAACAAATGCGCTGTACTTTTAGACTAAATCCTAAAACCAAATCGCCAATATTACAACCGTAGTAACGGTCCACTTTAGGTCAGCTCTGCTACGATGACGTAAATTAATCATTATTATTTGTAAAATCACTAGGTAAATAGGAAAAATGTTCGCATATTAAAATAATTTGTGACCTAAAAACATATTTGAGGCATAGTGAAGCCACGGTAAAAAAGATAGCAACTTGGACTGAACTTATGTATTAAAGGCAGAGAGCAGATGATAAAAATTTGGTCTGACTGGTAGACCAGTCCTGGTACACAAGAACAAGGTGTAGAGCAAAGTAACCGCCAGTCATACACACGGTCACATCGACAGTCCCACAATCATTTGCTTCAGGGCCTTAGCGCTCTCCTTGATCCATCTCCCACGCTAGCAACTACAACACATCCCCTACTGCAAGAAAGCACTCACTAGCCAGCCACACCACTCGTCACCTTCCTTCAGATCGGGAGACTGTACTCAACCTTCCCAACAGCATCAACTGAATCAGGAGCTGCGTTTGGTCTGAGGCAGTATCGTAGAGAGGATTTTGTTGACCATCAATTGTGTCCAGGATTCGATGGTAACCATCAAGTCTGGTGTCGGCACTTCCCCT